TGCTTCGACTTAATTTATAAAACCTGTAGTTTTATTCTTTAAAATCCATCTGTACACATCAGTTGAGTGACTCGTAGGTAAACCCTCACCTATGGTCAACTGAGGATTTACACAGAGGAGGCAGAGACCAGCTGTTTGTTCCCTTATACAGCCTTGGCTGCAGAGGGTCACTCAAGCCCTGTCTGGAGATTAGGTGGCCCTGCAGAAGCTCGCTGTGTGAGCAGTGGATTCTGGTTGTGATAAAACAAGATCTGCTAAAGGACACTCAGACACTCTGCCCACTTTCGCCCCGGTCCTTGATGACTTTTCCACCTGAGACGTGGACACAGATCGACCTGTTAAGACACATGCAGCCTCCTCCTAAGTGTTTAGCCTTCACCGAGACTGCGTTGGAGGGCACATGGTGCGTCAGACATTCTCATTGACACAGTCCGCCCCTGATCTTTCATGGCACGATGGGGTGATAATCCAGTGGAAAAAGGAATTATAGCTTGAAACGAAAGTGATTTAAGCCGTTTAAAATCTTTTCCAGATTTAGGCAAGGCTGCTTTAACCTAAAAGGCTGCGAAAAAGGACCTAATTAGTTTTGTAGTCTTTATCCTTGACCAATGAGAACATACAGCAGGAAGCTAGTTACTAGTTTATGAAGACAGTAAAATAAGAGTCAGTGAAGTTTCATGAAATTCCTGAAACTCCACAACCTCTATTCTTAGCTGATTCTGATGGCAACTCATGGTGAAATTATAAAAAAATAGCAGAATTTCTCTTTCTCCTCTGTCCACCGATGCTCAGATCAGTATATGCTCAGAGTGCCAAGCATGTTTTATAGCTAATGAAAAGCTGATCTATGGGTCGATGGGATAAAGCTAACCCTTAGATTAAAATGATTAAGGCAAATGGGGCTGAGAAATGTAACTAATAACCTCCTCTGCAGAAATAATATTTAATCTAAAATAATTCATTTCCAGTTGCCATTGACAGCACCTCCTTAATTTTTGTGTTTTAATCCATTTTCGTCTTTTGATTTGGAAGCATGCAAATGGGTTTCACTCACAGTAATGGGTCTTTCCCCCTGTTTGCTTTGGCACATGTATCCTTTGCTTATTTTCTAAGTCAGCAGCGAGGTGCCTGCTCAGTCTGTGATTATGTAGATTTCCCCCGACCTCTCCTCTTCACCTCTGCCGATGGAGAGGATGTGGTGTCTGGGCCATGGAACAGACTGTATATGGGTGTTGTGAACGATGGCTGACGTACAAGAGGAGCTTGTGGCTGAGCTTTGGCTCTCTGGGAGCTGCTGTAGAACACGTCGTGCCCAAGTGACTTCTTACTACGTTTCTGCAAAAGGAAAAGCCTTGACCTGGCAGAGGAATAAATCTGCTACTTCCCATGGTGTGCATGGACTAATATGGATAAGGGGGATCACACGGTCAGTTTCAGACACATTTATCCTCACGATTCGTGCAGCTGCGATGTGTGAGGCCTGCTTCACATCTCTTTCACGTCCATATGTGAAAGTCACGGCTCGCAGTTTGTCCATATTTTCAGTGAAGACGTGAGAGCAAGGAATTGTTTCCGGCCTAGACCAGTGAACCCATTCTGTACGGGTATTAACTGAGGGGTATGAACTGTTACCCGCAGAAAGAAACGCACAGCTGGACCTGACTCAGAATACACACTTTGGCTCCTGGCCAGTCTCCACACCAAAGCTGTGTTATTAAGTGCAACAGAACACCTCAGTAGTGACTGTGCATGACATTTACAGGGCTTGCAGTCACCATAGAATAACAGACCAGGAGGAGA